ATTTCTCTTGATATCTAGAGAAAATATTCCACAAGAAAATTTCAAAAATCACATTATCTGTGTGTCAAGAGAAAATGACGTAATTTTCTCTAATGAACTAACTCTCCTGTTTTCAAAAAGCAAGCCCCGGGGGTTGACACTTCTGTGAATATGATATGAACAAATGGACTACTTATTGGAAACGTTTAAACATTTTGGTGACATCTCCTAAACTGACAGGATTATAAGGGCCAATAAAAATTTGCCAAATTCGGAAATTACGCTGTATACTGAAAATCAATCAAAACAGCCCTAATTTATTTTATGATTCGTTTATACCAAGAAACTGAGCCTAAGAAAATAGTAAGAGATACCTATACCTATTAGTTTTTTAAATCTATCTACTGCTTAGGTTGTACTCTACAATCTCATCTAAAGTGGGTCGCTTTGTGTACATAATATATTACACAGCTCCACAAAAAAAGTTCTGTACCAGAGACATGAGTACAGTTTTTTATGCTGAATCCGAATCCTCACCTCAAAAAGGCTACTAGGGCATTTTTACTCAAATGATTCAATTTTTGAGGCTTGCAAAAAATGTAATAAAATGTCCTGAGTCGTATTTAAAAAAATGAAGTTGATGGTTCTGGAAAGACGAAACGTTACACATAAAAATTGATTATGCCATTCGAGGGCAAAAAGCTGCTATGAGAAAGTGTTCAGTATCACATCAAACAAGGCTGAAATTAAACTAAAACCTTTGATTTTTTTTAGAGGCATAATGTTGGTACCCTGATTACGCAATATTGCCCCCCATTTAAGCTAGTTCGTATCTCTTACCGTTTCCGAGATCCCTGTAGTGAGAAGCGAATTTATAGCAGCCTGCATATTGTTTTGGAATATACAGGGTGACTTCTGTATGTGTGTAAGTGTTTTTTTAGTTGAAAATAAATATGTATTTACCTACTTTATTTTACTTTCGCTTTATTTTCCACTCTTTAATCTCCGGAGCGAGTTCTATCCGTAGACAAAAAATTGAATTGAAATTGAAATTGAAAGTTATGAAATCTAAATTTTAGTAGTCAATCTATTTAAAATTTTTTGATTTTTTTATAATGATTTTATTACAAAGAAAATATATTTGGAAATATGTAATGATATTGAAAATCTATCGCACCTAACTTTTAGCTACTTTCTAGTCTAAAATTTACAATTATTGATAAATACGGCTAAAAACCTCCTTTCTAAAGATCTGTCTCTTTTTGTGTGTGTTTGTTCTTAACTTTGTTTTTGGATGGCGTTTTCGTTTTTGGTGTCTTCTTTTCACTAGATAACCCAATATATGGTTTCACTTTACATTTATGAAACCACCGTCGAACTTGTCTATGTTGTGAGCTGATCTTGAGAGCTTCTTTATTGACACTTCAGATTTGTATTTGACAATCGACAGCCTCGTCTACAAATTCGCTTTTGAATTTCACTTTGAAACCTTTTTGTTTGCTTTATTCCAGCTTTATCGGATTTCTTTCAGGTAACCTTCCTTTGTTTCGTTTGACACTTCACTTTATTTTTATTCGTAGCACTGTTTGCTCCTTAGTTTACTTGAATGTGATTTAACCTTTAACTTCGATTTTAACTGGTATTATTTCTATCTTTTTACTTGTTTTTTTCTTGCATTAAATTGGCACTGAAAACTCGAATTGGATTTGAACTGGCTCTCACTCAACTGGCTTCGACTGACAATCGATTTTTATAAGTTTTTGTATAACAAATGACAAACATAGAAAATACTATATTCTTCTAAAATCTTCTTGACTATTCCAGTATGTGGAGGGCTCAGAAGCCAATCAGTGTAAGTTTCTTCTTAAAGTTGATGATATATAAGTTGATGGTATGAAATGTTATATCAATAAAAATGATAATTATTAGTATCTTTACGGGAATCTTTATTTTATTGCAAGTTAGGCTCTGAGCCCTTCATATGTCAAATTTTCTTTCACAAATTGTGTGTTTATATGCAAATTATTCTTACAACTAATAGTTCTGAATTTCTCAATTTTAGAGCTCTTTCTATATTATAATAGTTTGTTTACGATAGTGTTTTTTGGTATCATTTAACGCTATCACATGTTTAGTTCCTACTAATTAAACACTTTACAGTTATTGACACAAATACAATTCTCTTATTTATTTTTTTTACAATTCTTATACCTACTATATTTCCATTTTTTCTTCTTTTTATATAATTTTTTTTAAATTTTATTTCACCGTTGCACGTTTAAATTTACTGTGAAGTCTTGATATTCTACAGTGAGATTATGTATTGGATATCTAGTTTAATCTTTTTATTGTGAAAACTGTCTATGGAACGTGCTATATTAGAAACATGTTTGAATTTACTATACGTTATGTGATGGAGTATGGAGTGTTTGTTCAAGATTTTAGTAAAATTCAAATTTAAACCTTGTGGGGTGTGTTGTGAAATGAGGCTTGCGTGTTTATTCACACTTTTGGAGAAAAACTTGCAATTATATCCTATTTAGAAAACAAAATTAGTAAATTTACTCATTTATCACCATTTGTCAAGTATTATTATTATATTATTATTATTTTATGCAATTAAAATTTTGTTTTATATCATTTTGCATGTCTTGTTTCTACATTTTCTTTTCTTGCATGTGCATGTAGTCCTATTTTATAATTTAAACTTTTGTATCGACAACGCGTCACTGTTTAGTGCCGATTTTGGGCTGGAAGCATCATCGGACCATTCTTCCTCGAAAATGTGGCTGGTCAGGCAATGCGAGTTAATGGTGCTCGCTGTAGGTGATATCCAGTATTATTATTACTTCTTGCGTAAAATTTGGGATCAAATAAAAGAAGTCTAAAATTAGGTATTCTATTAAATGGCACACTTTACTGCTTTTAATCTGATTTGAAATAACGACGATATATACAGAAGGAAACTAATCTTTACTTTGTGAATTTAGGTCAGCATAAGCAACTAAATAAATTGATGTTTCATGGCCATTTTAATTACATATTACTTAATTTTATTCATACAGAATGGTACAACCTGATATTCGATAAATTTTACATAATAAATTTATATATATTTATATATATACTAATTGTTATCGATACAGGAGGTAAAAATTAATCCGGTACAGCAAATGAAAAAGTGTGTATCTGTTGAAAGTAGGTATACGGCCTTAAACTACATTAGTAAAGGATATGGACTTACAATACATACAAAATATTTTTACATACATTTAAATCTATGATTTATTATGATGCCAGTAAAAAAATAATTGGGATCAAAAAATTCAAGGAACATGCCTTTCAAGTAAGACAGAGATTTTTCTATCCTCATTTTTTGATATGATTTACAAATAAACAAGGTGACCCATGTTGAAGCTATGACCTCATTGAGGATTGTTTAAAGGAAAATGGTCATCGTCTCACTATTTTGGAATGCTACCTTAACAGCCAATGATGAAGTGTCAATGTTTTTGAACATTAATTTTTTTTTGGTGGTCAAATTAATATTTTGTAATGGTTTTAGAGTTATCTCATGAATTGCCAGCCATTGAAATTGAAAAATTCTAAGGGTACACAGAAAAATATTACATTGAATTCAATAGTACATTTATAAGCATATTTACATGTACGGTCGAAGTGTTCAAGAAAAAATCGTTTTTATTTTTTATTTTACGGAGAAATGTCATTCGTGACTTCTTATTTTTAACAGTATGAACAAATGCTAGAAATAAAGTTGTTTGGAATTAAAAGCTATGTCAAAATATTAATTTGTAGATACATCGGCCTATGTCCACATTTTTTTTTTAACTGAAGCGATTTTATTAAATTATAGATTATTGAATTTATTTCTATAATCATCTATTCAATGTATTTGCCAATTATTAACTTTATGTACATATACGAAAAATAGAACAACAAATAATTAGATAATTATTACTAGTATATTGTAAATAATTGTATACAGTGTTTCAGTTCGGGCGAATCAAACTTCAATCACAAATAGAACTCAATAAATAATTCAGAATTGCCTTATAAGGCAAGGGTCTAAGTCTCACCGTTTTCACTGAATAGGGCCGTGTTGGTCGGTTTTTAAAATCATATTGTTTATAAAATCTTTGGTATGCTTATAACAAATTCATTCAAATCTACTGTACAATTCACAAATATTTGTAGGTCAGTGGCGTAGGAATGGTTAGTAAGGCGGGATTTTTTTACCGCAACTTCTACGCCAATGACCTAATAATCATTTGGGATTCATTTTTGGATTCCGTGGACAATTCTACGTAAAAAGGTGTTTTTGTTAAAAATCGATATAGTGTATCGTTTTACCGAAAATCTCAGTTGAAGGGAAGACATTCTGATAAGAAATTTTTTGCCATTCTGAATATTATGCTCAGTCAACGTTCCCTTTGTTTCAAACAGATATAATTTCCTTAAAAAATTACACCTACATATTAATTTTAAATCTGCGCTGTGCGAATATACATATACTGTATAGTACTAAAAAATAAAATGTCTTCTCATATATAGACAAATAAATAAATTAGGGACTCACAATTACTTTTCACTGTATGACAAACTAATAATTTAGACCTATTCTAAAAAAAAATACTGAGTATAGTATTTGATGTAATCATTATTTTCGCAATATTAAATAATTAAAATTTTAAATTTTATATAATTTAAAGTTGATCGGCCGCTTTGGATTTACTTAAATATTAAGATTTCTGGATATCACCCTGTAACTTTATTTACTAATCGTCTTCGGAACCATCTTCATTGGGAATGCACTGTATATTTAAATTACGTAACAAGTTTTACCCAATTTTATTCTAATGGGTATTTGTTGAAATATTATTTTTAATGTTGATATATTATTTTATTTATAAAAAAAAATTCATACAAATTAAATTTCTAAAACTTTACGCTTTATTTAATAATGAGAAGTTCCATTTTATTATGTCTAGGATATAACTTACCTGGAAAATATATAAAACAAATCAATGCTACTAGAATTTTCACTAACATTTCAAAATTTGTTTAACGTTTTCCTTCCGAACAGTGAACGATTCGGAATTGACTGATAACAATATCTGTTCTATACTGTCATTAGGAGCGTGTAGGTCATGCCCAACATTTTCTTTCCTAACTAACTATCATGTGGTAGTTATTTGTTTTAACAATTGCCTAATGCATATTATATAGGTATTACATAATTGAAAGCGACTAATATGTCCTTCTAATATACAGGGTGGTCCGAATGTTATGCAGGAAACTTCGAGGGCAGATAAGAGGGAAATAATATGAGTTTGCCTTATAAACATTGGTCTGGAACAGCCCCGTTCTACAGATACCCTGTATCTGTTGATGTTGTTAAAAAAAATTGATTTTTTATTTATATCTCCGAAATCTTTTAACCGATCTCAATAAAATTTGGTACGGATAATGTATGCCTTACATTAGGCCTTACATTCCCTAAAATATGAGCTTAAAGGTTCAACCAGTGGTGTACAACTGGACAGGGGTCACCCCCTTTTTTTACAAAAAAAACCTACGCCACTGCATTTTTACAAGTTATTGTAACTGATTTATATTAAAATGCACAAAATATGTAAAAAATATGACTAATTTTTTTCCGAAGATTCGCCGTTCTCAAATTATTCATCCCAATACATTCCCCTTGTGGCAGACACTTCTAACCATAATATTACAAGAATATTTATGTTTATGCTTAAAAGTAAATGCAATTTGTAAGCACATCAACAAAATTATTTACACCTTTCTACACCACCTGTGACGTAGTGTTCCTGGCGTGTTTTAATTTTCCCTGGAGACCTAATACTCTTTACTAATAATCCTAAATAATAATAAAAATATATTTACCAAGCAACAGCAACTGAACAAGAAACAAAATTAACGTTACGTATTTACAACAGTTGTTCAAAATGTGAACCACCCACATCGATACATATATTACATCTTCTATTAATAGAATTAAATGAAGCTAATATCATGTTAAGTGTTTTTCTTTTAATTCATTACATTCGTCTTCTATTCGTTGCAGTAGTTATGGCCCTGTATCTGTTGGACTAGAATAAACTTTACTTTTCAAATAACCCCAAACATAGAAGTCTAGGGGGTTTAGATATGATAATCTGGCTGGCCAAGACACTGGACCCTCTGCACAATTATGGTTGACTTTGGCCTTCTACCCAACCATCGCCCCATATAATTTTCATTAAGCCAATCTTATATTATCCTCCCAGAATGCGCAGGAGCCCCATCCATCGTATCCAGCTATTTTGTCGTATATTTAATGGAACATCCTCTAATAATTCCAATAGATGGTTTTCTAGAAAGTTTAGAAATTGGGAATTTAGACGGGGTGACAAGAAGAAAGGTCCACAAACTTTATTGAGAATTATTCCGAGCCACACATTCACAGAAAATTCGTGTTGAAAAGATCTTGTCCGAAGATTCTCTTGTGACACAATATGCCATATGATTGTGAAAATTCACTACCCCTTCGGTAAATGTACATTTATTATTACTTTGATTTAAGTTGTTCTTACTTATAAAAATAGTGGGTTAGGCTTCCAGGGGAAACTAAAACGCGTAAGAAACTCTACCTCACGGGTAGTGTGGAAACGAGTGTAAAGAATTTTACAAATTCTACTTTTAAGCATAAACATAAATATTCTTGTAATATTATGGTTAGAAATGTATGCACAAGGGGATTGTATTGGTATGAATAACTTGAAAACGGCGAATCTTAGGGAAAAAATTCAAGTTACCTTTTCTAGGTATTTTGTGCATTAGAATATAAATCCGTTACAATAACCTGTAAAAAATGCAGTGGCGTAGGTTTTTTATAAAAAAGGAGACGACCCCTGCCCAGTATTATATACATAATATACAAAATGTATTGTAAACGAAGAATACTATTATTATTTTAGGTGACAATGATGGGGCGTGTTGGAATGATAAATTACTTCAAATAAAAATTGGAGATATTGAAGATATGGGAAATTGATTGCTGATCATTCTGCCAACTATAAAAACAAAGAAAAAAAGATCCTTTATTGCAAGCGAATGTTTAGACATATATCGAAAATATAGTACCGCAAGACCTACACAAATAGATAGTAACAGATTTTTTTTTTAATATTCAAATGGTAAAGCACTTAACCAATTAATAAGAATTCATATATTTGGGAATATGCTACAAGTTGCTGCTCTGAAGGATGCTCACGAATATACCGGACATTGTTTCTGTACAACTTTAGCTACACTATTAATAAAGGATCAGGAGCTGATATCACAACTTTAAAAATGTATTGTGGATGGAAATCTTCAACGTAGCTGAAGGTTATATTGAGGACTACATAACTCGTGATTCAGTGGTTAGCAAAAAACATTTCCACTACTGCAAGTACATAAAGAACTGGAAGCGATTTTTTAAATACTTCAACCACTTTGGAGGTTTTAATAGTTCATAAGCCATTTAGTGAAAACACCTCAACCTAGATAGACGAAGTAAATGTTTGAAAACAAATAGGACAAGGAATATCCCTTTCAGGCTGTTCTAATTTCACTACTTACAAATATTTACAATAAATAAAATTACTTTCGTTAAAGAACAAATTTTAACTTTTAATTTAACGGAAGTAAAAATGATTCTAATGCCTAGGCAGTAAATGTCACTTTAGTGCCTGTCAATTGCCACTAAAACAGCGACATTAATGTCGATCGGCAAACAAATATTTTTTTATTACTCGTGACGGATAAGTCCTATCTCTTCGCATGTCGGTAACTAGCTGTTTGCCTACTCTATTTATTTGCGTGCGGTAATCTTACTTGTAGCACGCGAATTGCCAATAAAACACGCAAAATTTAAATACCTACACATTCGAAAATATAATTTTTAAAAAGTGACAGTTATTTATGTCAACTTAAACTGAATAAAATATGCGGACCCCGCCGGGGCTTGAGCCCCTGGACTCTAAGATTTCATTGCATTCGTAATAAAAAATAATATATGCAATTCGTGCGATTGTCTATTGCCCACTTAAGCGGATGAGCTCCGCTCTCGTGGGCAATAGACAACTTACCGGACTTATTGCACAATATACTATTTTATTACTCATGCGCTTGTTTTTTAGGTCGGTAAATAGCTGTTTGTCTACTTTATTTATTTGCGTACGGTAATCATACTTGTCGCACGCGAATTGACAAGTTATTTATGTCGACCTAAACTGAATAAAAATCTGTGGACCCCATCGGAACTTCCGTTTCTGGACTCTTAAGATTTCATTGCATTCACAAAAAATTAGTATATGCAATTTGTGCGGTTGTCTATTGCCCATTTCAGCGGATAAGCTCAATCAACTCCGCTCTCGTGGGCAATAAACAACTTAGTGCACTTATTGCACAATACAGGGTGTAACGTAAAGGTTGGGAATAAATTAAACAGTGGATTTTTTAGTAAAAAATAAATTTTTGTCATATGAACTTATGCTTTACGGGTTTTCTTTTCCAAGCTACAGGGCGCTAAAATATTTCAAAAAATTTAGTTTTTCTACAATAACTTTCGAACATTAGAAGATAATGGAATGAAATTTTATCCATAGCTTAATTTGATAATCCCCTAGAAACAGGAAAAATATTGGCTTTGTAAATTACTCAGTGGCGTGCGTACGTCTTATACCGTAAGGTATTTCGAAGAAAATTGTAGGTCGCCACTGGTAGGTAAAAACATTTTTTTAATATCTTTTTATGATCCACATTTTATTTTAAACAAAATTACCCTCTTGCGTTTTATTCCTAGCTCTTGTCATTTTTCCGTAATTAAAACTTTTGTAAATACCATTTTTTCTCGCTGCTAACATAGGAAAATGAAAATAACAAAAACATTATGATGTATGCTTTGACTTAGCCACCGAAAATGGTCAAATAGGCATTAAAAAAAGACTTATTTGTATTGAAAGTGACATTACAATATCACATTATTTTAACAATAATAAAAAAACACTAGTGACTTAGGAATTTAAAGAATTTATTGAGTAGGTAATAAGAAATAATAAACAACAAACAAGATTACAAAAGGTGCTGGAAATATTGCCCCCCAACTTCAATACATTTTTCAATGCGTTTTCTCATGGATTCTCTTACTCGTCCAAAAATACCAGGCATATCTCGAATTTGCTGACAGCCCATTTCAACTCTTTGACGAAGAATCTGTACATCAGAAATGGGAACGGAATAAACTATGTTTTTTAAGTGTCCCCACACATAATAGTCTAATGGATTAAGTTCGGGAGAACGAGCAAGCTACCCTTTTGGCCCTCCACGACCTATACATTTATTGAGGAACGCTTCATTGAGGTATTCTCTAACTTCTCGCCTAAAGTGAGCTGGGGCGCCATCATGCATAAACCACATGTTCTGGCGTGTTTCAATTGGAACTTCTTCTAAAGACGCACAGCTAACACAGTATTCCCGTTGGCAAGGCCGTAAATAAAATGCATATCTGCTAATTCTAGAAATGAGTAGTCCATTTCTAACAGATCTAAACCAAAATACAACCGCTTAAGGAAAGCTAAATGTCATAACTGACAATGATGTTTTGTCTGAACACATCTGAAAACAAATTTTTCTGGCTTGGTTAAAGCATACTTCATAATGTTTTTATTTTCATTATCCTGTTCGCAGTGGGAAAAAATGGTATTTACAAAACGTTTATTTACGGAAAAGTGACAAGAGCTAGGAATAAAACGCAAGAGGATAATTTTGTTTAAAATAGAAAGTGGATCATAAAAAATATCAAAAAAATGTTTTCACCAGTGGCTTACCACAATTTTCTTCGAAAAACTTTACGGTATAATCCGTACGCACGCCACTGAGTAACATACAAAGCCAATCCTTTTCCTGTTACTAGGGGATTATCAAATTAAGCTATGGATAAAATTTCATACCATTATCTTTTAATGTTCGAGTTATTGTAGAAAAACAATTTTTTTTATATTTTTTAGCGCCCTTTAGCTTGGAAAAGTAAACGCGTAGAGCATAACTTCATATGACAAAAAAATATGTTTTAAACTAAAGAATCCACCGATTAATTTATTCCCAACCTTT